GTCTCAAATAGTGCATGGGGGGACTTCCCTGGTGGTGCGGTGGTTAAGAATCTGCATGCCAATGCAGGGGACACGGGTTCGAGCCCTGGTCAGGGAAGATCCCACATGCCACAGAGCAACTAAGCCCATGTGCCACAACTACTGAAGCCCGCGTGCCTAGAGCCCGTGCTCCATGACAAGAGAAGCCACCGCAGTGAGAAGCCTGCTCACTGCAACGAAGAGTAGCCCCCGACTGCCACAACTAGAGAAAGCCTGCATGCAGCAACAAAGACCCAATGCAGCCAAAAATAAATTAATTAATAAATTAATTAATAAAAACATAGAGCATAGGGTATACTTATACTAAAAATTATTTATTGTGTATGTGAAGTTCATAGTTAACCTGGAGAAACTGTATTTTTGTTTGCTAAATCTAGCAACCCTATTCAGGGAGGGAGGGAGAAGAAGGAAAAATGAAGGGGCTTTCTTTTGGAGAGGCTTTATCCAGGAAGGGAATCTTTCTCCAGGTTCTTTCACCTATATCTCTTTAGAGAGGGATTGCTGAAGGGCATCTGGGGGAAATGATTATTTTCAGTTGGCCACATTGCTGCCACGAACAAAATAAGAACAGAAGAGGGGACAGACGTCAGGCAGGTAGATAGCAGTGTCCTCCACATGTGCCTCCATGCACACAGCCCCACCTTGTTTCCCCATCATCCCGAAATAGTTATATCCAGTGGGGACATTCAAAATATTTCACAACCAATATGGCACCAACACTAACCAATCAGAATGAATACCAGCCACAAACAGAAGCCATACTGGTACATATTGGAAAACCAACTTTGCTTATATCGTAATTTTTGATAAAATTAACATTTATTTTTATTTATTATGACTGTATAAATTTTGCTCACAGCTGACTTGCATAGTATACCATGATTACTTTTCCTTTCTACAATTCTTTATTCTTGGTAGAATCTCGGTACCCTCTCGAAATAGTCAAATTCATCCAGATAATTGATCAGTTCTAGGTTCTCCTTGGAGACATCCTGTCCAGAGCGTGATCTAAGATGCACCTGTTGCTCCCTGGACTGCTGCACAGCTCCCCTCCTAGGACCTACCTGTGCCAATCTTTTGTGGTGAATCCCATTTCCCAGATGCCATATTCCTTTCTTTGATGTTCCTTCATCTTGCTTCAATCACTTCCTGAGAAAATTTTTGAGACATTTCATGCCTGAAAATGCCCTTATTCTACTCTCACATTTGATTGATAGCTTAGTTAGGACTGAAATTCTAGGTTGGAAATAATTTTTCCTCAGTTTTGAAGGCATGAATCCCTCGTCTTATAGCTTCCACTGTGGCTATTCAGAAATCAATGCCAGTTTTCATGGTGGATTCTCTGTAGGTGAATTATATTCTTATTCTGGAAGCTTTTAAGGTCTTCTCTTTATATGTGATATTCTAAAACTTCATGGTGATGTGAGTTGGAGTGGATTTTTTTGTATGTATGTATGTACGTATGTATTTTTGGCTGTGTTGGGTCTTCTTTGTTGCTGCACATGGGCTTTCTCTAGTTGCGGAGAGCGGGGGCTACTCTATTGCAGTGCATGGGCTTATTGTGGTGGCTTCTCTTTGTTGCAGAGCACAGACTCTAGGCGCGTGGACTTCAGTAGTTGTGTCTCACGGGCTCTAGAGCACAGGCTCAGTAGTTGTGGCTCACGGGCTTAGTTGCTCCATGGCATGTGGGATCTTCCCCGACCAGGGCTCCAACCTGTGTCCCCTGCATTGGCAGGAGGATTCTTAACCACTGAGCCACCAGGGAAGTCCTGGAGTGGATTTTTTTTTTAAAAAGTATTTTTCTGAGCTCTCAGCAGCCCCTTTCAATCAGGAGAGTCAAATCCTTCAGTTCTGGGAACTGTTCTTACGTCATTTTCTTAATAATTTCCTCTATGGGGCTTCCCTGGTGGCGCAGTGGTTGAGAGTCCACCTGCCGATGCAGGGGACACGGGTTCGTGCCCCGGTCCGGGAAGATCCCACATGCCGCGGAGCGGCTGGGCCCGTGAGCCATGGCCGCTGAGCCTGCGTGTCCGGAGCCTGTGCTCCGCAATGGGAAAGGCCAAAAAAGTGAAAGGCCCGGGAAACAAAAAAAAAAAAAAAAAAAAAAAAAAGTAATAATAATAATAATTTCCTCTCTACCATTTTTCCTGATTTCTCTTTCAGAAACTCCTACTACTTTGATTTTGGAACCCCTGGATTGATCCCCTGATTTCCTTATCTTTTTCCTAAAATTTTTCTTTGTGTTTGTGCTCTATTATCTGATGTATTTTTTCAACTTCGTGTTCCAACTCTTGTATTGAAATTTTTCTTCTAACATCTCTTGAATTTCCAAGAGTTCTTTCTTATTCTTTAAAAGTTCCAGGTTTATAGCATTCTGCTTTTCTTTTTGTCATGGATACAATGTTTTTTTTCTAGTCCACTTGAAGATGTTAATTATATGGTTTTTAAGTGGTTCTTTGGCTGCTTGCAGTGCTCCTGTTTTCTTGGACTTTGTCTTTTCCTGTTTGTTTTGGTCTGTGTCATTCTGGTGATTCTGCTGGCCATCATAATTTGGAGTGGAGCTGCTAAACAGCTGTTTGACAGCCTGGACTTCTTGAATGATAGACTCAAGGTGGGCAATTGAGTGGAGTCCTAACCATTTTGTTAAAGATCTCCAAAATGTCAGAATCTTTAAGTCCTCCAGTCTCCTACCTGGAGTGTGTAAGCTTCATTACTGTTCTAGGAGAGGGCTGAATGGCTCACTATTTTTAATTAAATCCTTTTTTCCCCCAGTGAAATGACATCTTCTTGCTCTCAACTATCCAAGGGCCATCTGAGTTAACTTTTCCATCTTCTAGGATAGGGGAGCCATTCTAGGAGACTGAACCTAGGAGCGAGATCTGAGGGTTTAACTTAGTCCTTATGAAGATTTTCAACCAACTCTCCTGTTTTCGGCCCCATCCTCTATCCTGGTGTTCAGGTGAAACGACTACCTCCAACTCCCCTTTCTCTAGTTTTGAGAACAATTTTGTATAAGTTAGAGACTATATATACTTGAAGTTTCAGATAAAACATTAAAAAAAAAAAAACCTCTATGCTTCTGGTGTTTATTTTTCTTTTCATTACAGAAAATTTTCAAACTTAATAAAAATAGAAAAAAAATATGATGATTCTTTTGTCCCTACAAAGCTCCTTCAATAATTATCAATATATGACTGGTTGTGATGCTTTTCCTGTAACCATTTCAGTTATTGGTTAATTCGGAGTTTCTAATTTTTTAAAGTTATTTGATCATTTCTATTACTTTTCTAATCAACTATCTGTTTATTAGCCTTGTGACTAAGAGCTATAGTCCCAGAAACAGGCAGTCTGGGTTTGAATTGCTGTCCCCCCCTTTGAGCAGTCAATTAGGCCTTCTGTGCCTCAGTTTCCTCATCTGTAAAATGGGAACAACAATGTTACTTATAGTGAAGATTCAAGTAAGTCAGACATGCAGAGCAGAGCATTTAAAATAATGCCTGGCACATTGCAACAGTAGCTGTTATTATTATCTAAGTTAAAACGTATTGGCGTGAAGTTTCTCATGGCATTCACTTATAATTTTAAAATTCTCTACTATATTTTTAGTTACATCCCTTTTTCATTCCAAATGTTGTTTACATATGCATATTCTCTTTTCTTATTGATTACTCTTGCATGGTTTGCCTATTTTAATAATCTTTTCAAATAATTGCCTTTAGATTTATTAACCATCTCTGTGCTCAGTTGTTTTCTATTTCATTATTTGTTGCTTTCATCTTTTATATTTATGTCCTTCTACTTTCTTTTCTCTCTCGTTTTTTTCTAGGTTCTTTAGTTAAATGCTTATCACATTTATTTTCCTTCTACTTTCCTCTCTCCCTCCCTCTTTCTTTCCTTTCTCCCTTTTTTCTCAAAGTATATTGTAACCCACAAGTTTCAAGTTGTAATTCAAGTCTAAATATGTAATAAGTTCCATTGTGATTTCCTGTTAAGCCCATCATTAAAAATTATTTTTAGTTTCCAAATATATGTATATATATTTATTATACACATATATATAAATATGTATTTATATATATAGTCATTCCTTGGTATCTGTGGGTGATTTGTTCCAGGACTGCCCACTCCATACCAAAATCTGTGATGCTTAAGTCCCTTATATGAAATGGCATAGTATTTGTGTATAAACAAAGGTACCTCTTCCTGTATGCTTTAAATCATCTCTAGATTACTTATAATACCTAACAATGTAAAAAGTTGTAAATACAATGTAATGTTATGTAAATGGTTGTTGGTGTGTGGCAGATTCAAGTTTTTCTTTTGGGAACTTTCTGGAATTTTTTTTTTTTTTCCTGCGGTACGCGGGCCTCTCACTGTTGTGGCCCCTCCCGTTGCGGAGCACAGGCTCCGGACACGCAAGCTCAGCAGCCATGGCTCACGGGCCCAGCCGCTCCGCGGCATGTGGGATCTTCCCGGACTGGGGCATGAACCTGTGTCCCCTGCATCGGCAGGCGGACTCTCAACCACTGCGCCACCAGGGAAGCCCTCTGGAATATTTTTTAAAAATATTTTTCATTCATGGTTAGTGGAATTCATGGATGCAGAACCCACAGATAATCTGTATAGTTTTGGGTTTTTTTGTTTTTAGTTTTTTTACTGTAGAAGTATGATACAGATTCTTTAAAATTTACTAAGGTTTTCCTGAGACCTAGTATATGTGCTCTCTTTGTAAATGTTCCATTTGTACTTGAAAAAGAAATGTGTTCTCTTATATATATATATATCTCCCCAACATATATATATTTGAGCTTCCTCAATTTGTTTATATGTTCTTTTGTCTTAATTTTTTTCATCTGCACTAAGGTCTTCTGCTATGAGTATGAATTTGACCATTTCTCCTTGAAATTTTACCTTTTTGTGTCATTTACATTTTGAGGCTGTGTTCATCTTTTACTTTATAGTTATGAAGGTGGAGGAGGAAAAGGCTGGGGTAGGGAAGCTGGACCCCCCTAACTACAGGAGGCGATGTCAGGATCAGGAAGGTAAGGTCACCTTGAGAACTTCATGCAAATTCTTGGAGGGTCTGGGAATTCCTTGGATATCCTTATAACAGCCCTTCCAGCTGGGAAAACTAGAGAGTTGGTCCCTTTCCCTGACCCACCCACAGTGTCTCCCCTAGATCAGGTGGGACCAGCCTTAACCATTTCTTAAAGGGACCACGTGGTCAGGTTGGAGGCAGGTAACTGGTACTAGGATTACGGCATAGCTTCTCCAACACAAAATTAAACTCACTTATTTTACAAGCTCTACAAATCATACTAAATGCCAAATATCAACTTTCTATAGATTCTAAAAATGGCAGCTCAGGTAAAACCAGTGAAAGAGGATATTGAGTGGGGATATTTTTGTTGCTCCAGAATTGCTCACTCAGAGACCCTAAGTATCCTACATTCTACAGAAAAGCAGCCACAGAGTTTATGAAGAGACACTACCCCAGCCCTTTTGGAGGGATACAGTAATCTTCCTGTCCAGCTGGATGCTTCCTGAGCTGAGGAACGTGTAGAGACACTCTGGGGCTGTTGATGAAGAAGAATGCAGTGAGGAGCTGGCACTGTCCTGAGCCAAACTACAAGATGTTCGCAGTGAGAAGAGAGGTCCTGCAGAGCAAAGAAACAAGCTGGGGGTGGGCTATGATTCCCTACAGTTTACCAGCTAAACAGCCACACTCTGATGGTTATAGTGGAGAAAATGAGACAAGTTAGATCCATGGCAGAAAGAAAATATTTCCCTGACAACCATCCCCTGATTTTTTTTTAAAAAGGGTGCTCTTTGTTTGTATAACCCCACACAATTCTCAAAATCATGTTCCCATTCAGCATTCCATTCTATCTTCTCAAGAACAATGCGTAGCCAGTAGAGAAAGAATTTTTATTCCTGCGCTATCAGTGAGGACACTGAGTCCCCGAGAGGCAGATGTGCATGGCCATACAGCAGGTGAAGAACAAGCCAGGGAGCACCCAGGGCAGCTAACTCTTGGTAGAGGCCTTTCTGATACATCTGCTGCTTCTCATTTCCATTCCTGGCCTCAAGGCTGGAGAATAGGAACTCATCATTGAAAGAACCAAATATGCTAAACCTTTAGAGTAGAACTACTTATCTCTAAATATTGGTGACCATGGCTTACCTCAGATTACAGCTTGCTCAGGCTCAGTGTAGGAGAGAGAAAGAAGGAGATGCACCAGCCATTCTGATACTGGTTCACTAGGAAGTGAGGCTGCGCTTCATAAATGTATCTACCTCAAATTTCTCATTACACCCATGAGAGATTGAGGGTCCAGAAGAGCAAGCAGTAGGATAAGGTGGGGGTGAGCTGGGGTTCTAAAGAGATTTGGACACTGACATCCATGTAACCTTACTCTCCAGTGCCTAGTAATGCACCAGCCAGTGTAGACTAACACAGAATCTGCTCACCAGAGTGGGCATGCAACATGTCTCTAAAAGGCCTAGACATGCTTCTTCAAGGTTCAGCTTCATGTGGTTTCAGTGTGATATGTGCAGTCAGTGATGCCCAGGCATCTAGTATGTCAGTTTCAGGAGTTTGAGCTAACAGACAGCCCTCTCCTCCAAGGGAAAAAAACAAACAAACAAACAAAAACAAAACAACCCCCCCCCAAAAAAACCCTCACAAAGTTAGTGTAGATCTTGATGTAAGAACACAAAGTCCAATTTCCCACTCTGCCACAGACTTTCAAATTTTAGCTGCTATTCTTGGGCTTCAGAAATAGTCATAATGATCAACAGCTGTTGACCAGCCCTAGGGAAAATTTTTACCACAAATCAGTCAATGTGATACACCACATTAATGAAATGAAGAATAAAAATTATATGATCATCTCAATAGATGCAGGAAAAGCATTTGACAAAATTTAACATCCATTCATGATTAAAAAAAAACACTCAACAAACTGGCTATAGAGGGAATGTTCCTCAATATAATAAAGGCCATATATGACAAGCCCATAGCTAACATCATATTCAATGATGAAAAGCTGAAAGCTCTTCTTTAAGATCAGTAACAAAACAAAGATGCCCACTCTTGCCACTTTTATTCAAAATAGTACTGGAAGTCCTAGCCAGAGCAATTAGGCAAGAAAAAGAAATAAAAGGCAAGAAGAAGAAATTTTTAAATTGGAAAGGGAAAAGTAAAACTGTCTCTATTTGCAGATGGCATGATATTATAAATAGAAAATGATAAAAATTCCACCAAAAAACTGTTAGAATTAAAAAAATTATTTTAAATTAAAATTTCAGGTTACAACATCAATATACAAAAATCAGTTGCATTTCTATACACTAACAATGAACTTTCAGAAAGAGAAATTAAGAGAACAATTCCATTTACAATTGTATCAAAAAGAATAAAATACCTAGAAAAAAATTTAACCGAGGAGATAAAAGATCTGTGCACTGAAAACTGTAAGACACTGATGGAAGACACTGAAGACAACACAAATGCATGGAAAGATATTCCATGTTCATGGACTGGAAGAATTAATATTCTTAAAATGTCCATATTAGCCAAAATAATCTACAGACTCAATAGAATCTCAATCAAAATTTCAATGATGTTTTTTTCACAGAAATATAAAAAACAATCCAGAAATTCATATGAAGCCACAAAGAACCCTGAATAACCAAAGCAATCTTGAGAAAGAAGAACACAGCTTGAAGATCACACTTCCTGATTTCAAACTATATTACAAACTACTGTATTCAAAACAGTATGGTATTGGCATAAAAACAGACATATAGATCAATGGAACAGAATAGAGAGCCCAGAAATAAACCCACACATATATAGTCAATTAATTTATAACAAAGGAGCCAAAATATACAATAGGGAAAGGATAGCATCTTCAATAAATGATATTGGGAAAACTTGACAGCCACATGCAAAAGAATGAAACTGGACCCCTGTCTTACACCATACAGAAAAATCAACTCAAAATGGATTGAAGACTCGAACTTAAAACCTGAAACCGTGAAACTCTTAGAAGAAAACATAAGGGGTAAGCTCCTTGACATCAGTCTTGGCAATTATTTTTTTTTAATTTGACATCAAAAGCAAAGGCAACAAAATAAAAAACAAAGTTAAACTACATCAAGCTAAAAAGCTTCTGCACAGCAAAGGAAATTATCAACAAAATGTACAGGTAACCTACAGAATGGGAGAAAATATTTGCAAATCACATATCCGATAAGAGGTTAATACCCAAAATATATAAAGAATTCATACAATTCAATAGAAAAACAAAACAAAACAGAAATACAATTTTAAAATGGAAGAGAAACTGAATAGAAATTTTTCCAAAGAAAACATACAAATGGCTAACAGGTACTCGAAAATGTGCTCAACATCATTAAATCATCAGGGAAATTCAAATTAAAACCACAATGAGATATCACCTCACAACTGTTAGAATGGCTATCATCTAAGACAAGGGATAACAAATGTTGGCAAGGATGTGGAGAAAAGGAAACCATTGTGCACTGTTGGTGGGAATGCAAATTGGTGCAGACACTGTGGAAAACAGTATGGAGATTCCTCAGAAATTAGTAACAGAACTACTGTATGATCCAGCAATTCCACTTTTGGGTATATACCCAAAAGAAATGAAATCATTATCTTGAAAATATATCTGTACTCTCATGTTCATTGCAGCATTATTTATAATAGTCAAGACATGGAAACAACCTAAGTGTCCATCAGCAGTTGAATGGTTAAAGAAAATGTGATATACATATGAATATTATTCAGCCATGAAAAAGAAAGTAATCTTGTCGTTTGCAATATGAATGGACCTTGAAGACATTATGCTAAGTGTCTTAGACAGAGAGACAAATACTGTATGATCTCACTTATACATGGAATCTAAAAATCCAAACTCATGGAAACAGGGAATAGGTTGGTGGTTACCAGAGGCTGGGGGTGGGACGTGAGGAATTGGGTGAAGGTGGTCAAAAGGCACAGACTTTCAGTTATAAGATAAATTAGTCATGGGGATGTGATGTACTGTATGGTGACTGTAGTTAACAATAGTGTATTGTATGCTTGAAAGTTGCTAAGAGACTAAATCTTGAAAGTTCTCATCACAAGAAAAAAATTTGTAACTATGTGTGGTGATGGATGTTAACTGAACTTATCGTGGTAATCATTTTGCAGATATACGTATATCAAATCATTATGTTGTACACCTTAAATTAATACAATATTATATGTCAATCACAACCCAAGTTAAAAAAATAATAGGAGAAACTTGAGGTCACATATGGTAGGGTACATGGAACTTCATGTATTATCTGCTCAATTATTCTGTACGTCTAAAATTGTGCTAAAAAGACTATTAATTATTTTTAAAATTGTTGACCAACTCAAGACAATACGGATGAGAAACTGGTGGCAGAACGTCCTTTCTGAGGTCTGAGGGAATTCTAGCTGCCTCTTTGTGTACAGAGTTAGTGGGGGATTTACATAGCAGCCAGGCTTCTTAGTGGAATTCTGAATTAGGGTTCTTGGTAGCTCTAGTTCTTGAAAATTCTAGTTTACGAAACCAGCTTTGAGAAATCCTTAATAACTCACTTCTCTGATGAGTGGTAGTTCACAGAGTCCTTGGCTGTTAGTAAAAATGGCCCTTGATGGAAATGCATATGGCTTTCCCATAACAATTGAAGCCGCGGCTTGGCATTTTGAACTGAATATGTGACCCACCGAGGGGCTCTCTCCTGGACCATGTGTCATAAACCATATGTGTTTATTGCTGCTCTGGACTAGCAAGAATGGGGAGATGGGAGTTCTGCTCATTCTGACAGAATTCTAACTATAGGGCCAAGGGTCTCCCTTCCAGCAACTGGGGAGTTGGTTCAGAGTTGGAATTCTATCAAGCCCAGTGGCCCCGTCCAGGAATGCTTTGCCTTCTGATCTTCTTCAGTGGCCTCAGCTCTTTGTAACTGGAAAATATTAAGGAGAAATGCCAATTTTCAGTAACTCTACCTACCCTCTCTTTTATTCTGTGCCCACAGACTGCCGTTCCATCCACATTGGGCTTTCAGTCCCCAGTTACCCTCACAGGAAAAGAGACCCGAAGGGACATCTTTCAGGCCTGCAAAAGGTCCACTGGGGCTTGCGGCCAGACAAGCCGCAGCAGGGGCTGGCCAGTGCCTGCAGCACTGTGGATCATGTCATCAGGACACGTGAGTTCTTGAGGGGACCATTCTGGGGAGCCATCTGCTGGGTGGTCCAGATGGGGCAGGGCAGGGCAGGGCAGGGGGATTCTCTGGAGAATGTGAGGAACGCCCCATGTTGCTCAGGCCTCTCAGTCCCCTCTGCTCTGCTGCCATGGCAGACCAGCCTCTCTGCTCAGGGACACCTTTAGTCAGGCTGAGCCCCTGTCCCTCTCTGGTGACTTTGAGACCTCTGCTCTGATCCATTCTGCCTTGATTTCACAGTTTAATTCTCAGAATTATTTCCTGTTTCCAAATTCCTAGGGGCCACACAGCCGTTGCCCGAAGAGCCAAGAACAAACATGAGTGTCTGGCGTGAGGTGTTGTGCTCGGTAAACTGAATTCCTTATTGCATTCCCTCCACCCTGGCTCTTCACCTGAGCTTGAAGGAATGGTCTGGAATTGTCTGGGCACCCTGCTCCTCAGCTTGCAGGGTCCTGGAGGCTTTCTCCCAGGTCAGCAGAGCCCCTGAGGCCTTCCTCTGCTGTTGAGGAAATCAGTTCTGGGCTGGTTAAAAATCAGTCTTTTGTTCTTTCCTGTGGAAAGAAAAGTATCAATCTTAAGAGGAGTGAAAAGATTAGAGCACAACTGTGACATTTTATCCTTTTGAGCCTTCGCTGTTTCTAGGGACATGATTTCACCTGCAGCATACCCCAAATCTGCGTAATAAATGGTACCTAATTGGTTTCTGCTATATAGTTCCACTGTCTTGAGCAAGGCAAAATGAGTTATTTTACCATCTAAACCTTCAAAAGAATGTCAGAGGCAGTAACAACCTCTTAACATTCCAGATGGCCTTGCGAAGGCCATCTGAGTCACCCCCAACCCTGCACTGCCCTGAACAACTGCTGTCATTGGCACCAAGTCTACCAAGGCCTGTGACTTTTCCAAAGTAAATGTGCCTATGCGGGAGAAGGGTTAATGGGGAGTCCTTTGGAGGTGTCTAGTTTAAGAGATAAGCTTTGATTAAAATATGCATGTGCACACATACACACAAACATGCACACACAGGCTTATGCACACATATATGTTCAGGGGTAGACATACCAGAGACCCAAAGGAGGGCTAGCCTGGTGGGAAGGCCTGCTCCCCATGTTGGATCTGGATGCTCCCACTCACTCTCTGGGGCATTCTCCTGTCACTCCACCGCATTCAGAGGTGAAGTCACCCTTTCAAAGTTGAGTCTGCTGGATCCTTCCTGAGTCAGGGAAGAGGAAGGTGGGTTAGAGCTGGTGCTCTCTTATCGAAGGGTTTGGAGGAGGTCTAATACATGGCATTTGCTGATGCAACATGGTGCATCACAGAAGTGGTCACGAACGGTGGATTTTATGTTGTTTTGGTGGTTTCTGGTTAATGGGACACTGGTTTTAGCTGGAAACCAAAGGGGAGGGAATGGAGAATACTTTGGTACGTTTGCACATTCAGTTCGTTCTCTTCACAGCCTGCTACTCCCATGCACGTCACATGGCATGGCTGTGGAACAGGGGAGAGAATGGGAGGGCCTGGGAGGACAGGAAATTTCAGGCCATGTCTTTCAAGCTGGGGTAAAGTAAGAACCCCTTTTAAAGGGAAAAGGGGTTGTGGACCCGTGAAAATGGATTTGTACCTCTGTAGAGCCCCAGGGGACCATAAAAATCCCAGTTTGAGAAATAATATCTTAATTAAGGTTTTATTCTGTAAAAGTATCTCACATTTTTGAATTATAACAACAGAAAAGTTTTGCCCTTATATCTAATGGAAGAAATCTTTTTAAGATTATCATCAAAATGGAAACATGAAATTTAAAAATTCTTATAGATCCCACCTACCCCTAAGAATACTTTCCAGACCACAGTTCCAGACATGCTGACTTAAGGGGGCCACAAAGCCTGCTAGCAAAGTCAACAGCCACCACAAGTTTTCTGTAGCCCATGGGGGCTGAGCTTGTTCCGGCCATTCTCTTAGGGGTGGTAGAGGTTCACCCCTCAGTCCTTCACTTCTTTCAAACCAAACAGGGCATTGTGTGTATGATGCAAATATAAACCCTGCTCCACCACATCCCAGGGTCAGTAACAATGACCCAAGGAAGGGAAAACAAAACAGTGCCCGAGTAATTTTACTGCATCATCTAGATAATTGCCTGAATCTGCCACTTTTCTTTGCTGTAGGACAACTGACCACATGTGTTTTCCCTCTCTGAGTGTCCTGTCTATTCTATGAATCCATTCAGACAGCCCAGGCAGGTGGTCTAGCTGGCCACAAAGTCCAAGTGGGACCTACCTCTATAGAAGAGGGGAATCATGCAGAATGGAGGGCGTGGGTGCTGGCCAGGCAGGTGGCTAGACATAGCTAGGCCTGAGAGTAAAGCAGGCTGTGCAGATGAAGGATTGACAGGTGACTCCTTTAGTTTCTGCCTCACAAGACAATGACAAGAATTTGTACCATGAAATGGTATTTCATTGTAATTTTGTTAACTAAATGTATGCTGTTAATAAAAAGGAGATATTATTATCCCCATCTTCAGATTGGGAAATCAAGGTTTGAAGAGATGTAGTGTGATACAGCGGTAATCAGTGAAACTAGAATTTGAAAACAAGTCTGTAGACTCTAAAGCCTGTGTGTGCCCCTTCCACTACACTACTATCCTTTGTAAGTTATCACTGGTCAGTCACCATGTTGGATATGGGCTGAGAATTGTATCCTTTTAAGCAGCCAAACTGCCTTATGATGACGGGGATAGGTAGGTAGTAGTTACATCATAATATGGTACGCCATAGCTGTTGGATTACCACCCCTTCCTCCAATATGAATATAATTTAGGAAGTCAGTACTTAGCAGCCAATCAATTTTGACTCCAGCAGAGCATAGGTAGGGAATAGAACCATCAAGCTGTGGTGAAAACCAGCAAGTGCCATGCTTCCTTCCCTGGAAAGAATGCATTTTCTGGCTCTGAGAACCTCTTGAGAGCTATTACAAGCAAGAGGGTAAAAAGCAGCTGTAGAAATATGGCTGCCCTTTGGCATCTCTTGGCTGGTGCTAAGAACCGGAGCCCAGATCTAAGAAGAACAAGACCGGCCAAGCCCAACCTGGTGTGTAGGCACTAGGGTCTCAGCACCTTCATCTGCAGAGTGAAAGATTGTTGTAGGGTGACCAACTGTTTCAGTTTAACTGGGATGGAGGGCTTTCCCAGGACATGGAACATGGGACTGTCAGTGCTAAAACCGGTCAGTCCGAAGCAAACTGGGATGTTGGTCACACTAAGTTGTGAGCTCCTAGATGAAATATAAACAGACATGAAGTATTTCGCATGGTGCACAGTGCATGACAGGCACTTGACATATGTTACTTCAACTGATCTATGTTAACCCAATTTAAAAGCACTCCTTGGGCTTCCCTGGTGGCGCAGTGGTTAAGACTCTGCCTGCCAATGCAGGGGACACAGGTTTGAGCCCTGGTCCGGGAAGATCCCACATGCCGCAGAGCAACTAAGCCCGTGCACCACAACTACTGAGCCTGCGCTCTAGAGCCCACAAGCCACAACTACTGAGCCCACGCACCACATCTACTGAAGCCTGCACGCCTAGAGCCTGTGCTCTGCAACAAGAGAAGCCACCACAATAAGAAGCCTGCGTACCGCAATGAAGGGTAGCCCCCGCTCGCCGCAACTAGAGAAAGCCTGTGTGCAGCAACGAAGACCCAACACAACCAAAAATAATAAATAAATAAAAATAAATAAATAAAAAATAAAAGCACTCCTTTACGAGTGGACATCTGGTTTGGCTGCCGTCACTGGTACTGAGAAGCTTATGAGATCCTTCTGGTGGGAGGGGTGTGAAAAAGTATTAAGGTCTTCTTCTACTTGCCAAGTATTGAACAACTCTAGGGTCACTAAAAGATCAAAACCACCCCAAGATGAGCAGTAAGGGAGAGGAAGGCTATTTTTTGGCCAGGTGTTTGAGCCTCATATGGTTCCAAAGGCTTTAGATTTCATGGGGTCTTTCTTTCCCGTTTCTTTTTATTTATTTATTTGTTCGTTTGTTTATGGCTGCGTTGGGTTTTCGCTGCTGCACACTGTCTTTCTCTAGTTGCAGCGAGCGGGGGCTACTGTTCGTTGCAGTGGGCGGACTTCTCATTGCAGCGGCTTCTCTTGTTGCGGAGCACAGGCTCTAGGCACGCGGGCTTCAGTAGTTGTGGCGCACGGGCTTAGTTGCTCCGCGGCATGTGGGATCTTCCTGGACCAGGGCTCAAACCCGCGTCCCCTGCATTGGCAGGTGGATTCTTAACCACTGTGCCACCAGGGAAGTCCCTCTTTCCCATTTCTGATGAGGAAGGAGCAAGCGTTGGGACAGAAGACAAATTTACCTCTAAATAATCTGCTCCGCTAAGGAGCTCCTGAGACAGGCTGTGTTTGCAACATAGGAGCAAAGACAATTGGATTTCTTTTAGAGTTCGAAGCTTTAAAATGAGGTGGTTTCCTCTGTCTACTTTACCGACTTGTTTCTGGGAAGGAGTGGTAAAGAGAGGAGCAGAGACAAAGGGGAATAGGAGGGAGGAAAGGGGGAAAGAGTATCATCCTAGGCCTTTTAGGCAAGCCCCACCCCGGTGTGTGTGTAGTGGGGGGAGGTTGGGCAGACAGGAAGGCAAATTCAAAATTCCTGAAGGAAGCCTGTATTTGCTCCTCTCTCTCTTCTTGCCCTTGACATCTTAAAACCTGGATTTCCTGGAATTATCAACATAGCATTCAAACAAACAAATCACAAACAAAAACCCCTATTGGAAGGGAATCCTGAGTTAGTGACCTTAAGACCTAAGGGGAAATTAGGGTTGAAAGCTCAGTTTGCAAGTGGACCAATGAAAGTTCTAATAAATACAAAGTTATTATAACCCATATATGTTACCTGGATTTACCTTATTTCTTGAGAGTTAGTGTCCTTACCTCTGCCTAAATTTCTGTGAATTTCCAGCGACTTCCAGTCTCAGTATCACTGTAG